GGCACTCCTGCCCCGGTGCACGAAGAAGTCTTGCTTGCGGCCCAGGTGTATGTGCGCTGCCACGGCCTCATCGCCTGAAGCTCCGACTGGACGGTCTGGCTCGAGTGCCTGCGAAACATCACGCTCTACGATGCCGGCTCGTGTGTTACTATGTGTGGCTGCCCCACGACACGGCACAATACAGGTTGCCGCGGGCTGCGTGTGCAGACTTTCTCCTCTACTCTGCCACAAACGTGGTTGGCATTAAGTGATGTCAGCCGTTGCAAGCCTAAATATCGGCAGGCTCCGGTTGTCTGCCAGGCTTTCTTGGATGATCTTGGGTGTGATCCCTCGGGGGCATGTGTCGTCCCTACGAGACCTGTGCTCGAAAGGTCAAAGGCCCGAAGACCAAGACATTCAACAGAACAACGGCTTAGATATCGAGATGCTGGACTCTTGCATGAATCTCCCGACTCCCGGCACAGCCACGATCTCGACAACCACAGCAGCGGAGCCACAGTAACTCCCTCAACACACACAGAAGATCAGCATCGCCAAGAGAATGGCAGTATTTGGCAGTGCAGTCCCAGAAAAGCGGAGGGCCGCGCCTCTCTTCCGCCAGTGTCTTCTCCATTGCTTCAGAGGCTGCCCTGAGCACCATACCAGCAACCAGCATATACCGTTGGAGCCGGGCATGAGACCGGTGCCGCTGCGCCGCAAGCTCTGCTGCCAAGGAAGCCTTCTCGCTTTCCCAGGCCACTCGCGCCTATCACAAGACGCGCAGACAAGCCTCTGTCCTCAGCCTTGCACTTTCGGTTCGAAGGCCTTTTCGGCTTCCGCCGCTGTGGTCTGCGTGGCACTCCTGCCCCGGTGCAGATGTCAGAGAAAAGACCCTGAATCTCAGGAAGCTTTGGTCAAGTGCCGACATCGGGTCATCGGGCTTTGCTGGGCGCCGCGCTCTGCCTCGCCGACCTCGCGTGCATCATTGCCAGGCAAGGGGGTCAGCTCAGACTCAGACAGCCTGCGGAGCTTCCTCCTCCTGCGCGAATGCTCATGCTGCAGAGCCAGGACTTCTGATGAGAATTGCGAAGCCGCACCTCCTCTTCGGCCTCGTCATCAATCATCTGCATCTGACTCAGCAAGTCCTGCCAGCACCAAAGCACAGCAACAGATCAGCTTTCTGTGCTGTTCACGGCCTGGCCCGCTACCAAGCTAACGCTGTTCTTGTGAAGAGCAGGCGAGTCAAAGCCGAAAGCCCCATCCAAGGAGCCTTGACAAGGACACATGGGGCCTCGCTCGCTGTGCCACATGACGAGAGGCGGGCTTCCCGGAGTCATCATCATGATCTGATCGTTGAGCTCTTGGGCCTGCACAGAGGGTGTCGGGCCCCAAACAGGCGCCACCATTTTCCTGATCCCCCCTACTCTTGGGCCTGCCGCTCAGCAGCCTGTCGATCGGCCTCGCTCATGTTCCGGAGCTCCTGCTTTGGTCAAGGCGGCCAAGGCTTCAGCACTGCAAGAAACCTCTCTCCTCCATTTGGCTGCAGACATCTGCATAGGCATCTGCATGCCTGGAAGCTCGCACATTGCGAGCTTACACGTTCGCAGGCTCCGAGGCGGGGTCTGCTTCTTCTGCTGCTCGCTTTGGCTGAGGTCTTCATGTAGTCGCCTTTAAGATTCGTCCGGCACAGGGAACACGAATCAAGGAATTTCCAAGGCTCTCACACGATCTCTTCCCTTGCTTCCTTCAGCCGCTCATGGGCATCCTTCCAGCGCTGCATCGTTGGGTACATCCGCGGCCGCCACACGGCAACCGCCTATCTAACGTCCTCCAGCCGTCGCTCTAGCGCAGACCTGAGCCTCTGTTCCTCAGTGCACGAAACACAGTCGATGTGAGCCTGCAAGCCGTGCAGGGCGGAAACAGTTCCACCTGGCCGGTGACACGGATCCGAGGTCAAAGCCTTTGACAGCATCTCGCTCAAGGCCTCAAGGGAAAACTCTGGCTTCTGGTGCTCCCTGCAGACTGCAGGCTGGCCTTGTCATCCCTCATCTGCTTCTGCAGCAGAGTGACCTCACATCTCAACTGCAGGATGCAGATGATATGCAAGATTCTGCAAGCATCTGCGGCTAGCCAGCCTTGTCCTTCCAAACGTGAAGTCGGGTCTTGGTGTCTTTGCCCTCCTCCTCAGTGACACCGCGCTTGCCTTGCCCTTTGTCAAGAACAGCAGCACGGAGTCGCGGAGGCTACAGTCCTCAAACTTGCTTCCAGTCTTGTCATTGAGTTCTTGCAACCTCGATGAAGCAGCCATCAGCACGGAAAGGCGCTGCAAAGACCTGAGCTGTCGGCGCGAGGATCTCTTCCTTCTGACGAGCCATGGTGTGCTTCAACCCTGTATTCTCATCGTCCAGGACCTCCGACCCAGGCTGATGCAACCATCTCTCTCCGTCTCTCGGTCGATAAACTTTAGAAAAGGCTTCAGGCCCCAGAGTGGCCTTGACACGCTCCTGCAATTGTTGGTTCTCCTGCATCAAGTCCTGCGCGTGCAGTGCACTGGACGTGTCCGCGAACCCCTCGGAGTGAAAGCGGCGGCCTCCAGCTCCTCCTGCGTGTGCGAGTGGTCCTTACGTCGGCTCCGGCTCCGGCTCCGGCTCCGAGCCGGTCCCAGGCTCCTCTCCGCTCTCTCTAAGGCCACGGCCAGCTGGCCTCGCCTCCCTGAACCTGATCCACGGCGGCGGCGCACGGCCCCCCCACTGCGAGTGCCAGGCTCGCTTGAGGCTCATGCGAGGATACATCGGAAAGTCTGCATCGTTCTCAAGCCTTCAGAGAGGCGTTGTCAGATGAGATGCGTGATCTTGCATGTTCATGGTCCCGCGTGGCAACTGCAAAGCGCAGCGCTCTTGCCGAAGGTCGTCATTCTCCTCCAGTAAACAACGACAAAATTCTCGAAGATTGCGCTTCACAACCGCCTCCTGAAGCGCCATTGGCAGGGTTCATTCTAGCACAGCGTGTGCGCAGCGATGGTTGGCCAGAGATGTTTGTTAGTATCTGTCAGAAAGTCATGCTGCACGCACAGGCATCGATTTTACGCTTCATGTCACAGCTATGCTCAAACTTTCCTATCGCGGATGTCCCTTTTGTGCTGGATACTTCATAACATGCAGGGCTCGCGGCCTGAAGCAGAAGCGGCAACGTGCAGACTACGTCGAGATATCATCGGCGTCTGGGTCGGGAATTCAGCAAAGGCGCACCCCACGAGTGCTAGCTGTATAGCCAGCAGTGGCAGCAGCACCGTCAGAATGACCACGAGGGTCGTTGATGCATACCTGCCAGACCAGGTTCGCATTTCGACCTAAACAACGGTAACGGTTAACGAGAATTATGAAGAACTTAACCATAGTGGTATTATAGTGTCGACCAGTGGACTAGTAGTGTTGAGGCAAAGCACTCCATCCAGTCTCGGCTTCCTCTCCATCCAAGCCAGAAGGAGGCCATGCTGAGGAAACCGGAGAAAATGATCCTAGGAGAAAGGCGAACGAAATCAAAGCGCAAGCCACCCGCAGGCAGAGTACTTCGGGAGCCGACAGCGCACCCGTCACCAGCAGGATCGGCATCAGCATCACCACCGGCGGCAGCCATGGACAAACAGACAGCCTGTGACGGTTCGCGAGAGCACAGATGCTGGTCTTGACTGGACCAGTGCAAAGCGCCTCAAGAAAAGGAGGGCGCTAAACCTCAGGTCTTCGCAACACGGATTCTATATGATTCCTTCTAGCACTCTTTGCTGGGAACGGGGCATTCCAAGCGGTATCCACAGAAAGAGGCTGGAGCCGACGCAGCCTCGAGAACGGGGGCTGCCAGGCTGCCGGCTATGTCGAGCTCCGCCGAGCTCCGCGCTTGAGGAACAGGATCGCCGACGTAGGATGCTTGCGGCGCACGTCCTGAAATTTTTAACTTTTTTGCAGCGGCGGTGAAGTTAGCTTTTTACCAGGGCCCAGGCAGCACTGCGAGCCAGAACGAAAGGAAGGGCGGGAGGTAGACGAAGTGGGGCCTTCCCCAAACGAGCAGTCTTGGTCAGTGCATTGTCGTCGCGCTGAGGCTCCAGACCAAGGAAGCCGCAGGTCCTTCTCAAGAGAGGAAACAACGGCCACCGCAGTAGTGAGCGCATTGACCGAGAAGATTTCGCTACTGCAGGTACGACTCGTCGACTGACAGTCGGGACAAGGCACCACTCGCTGATATGCCGGTCTCTTTCTTTGCAAGGCTTATGGGCACTCCCCCGTAGGTGGGCATGCCTTCTGTTGACTGTGTGCACGGAAACAAGCGCTAACGACTTAGCCAAAATCCTACCAAAGGTGCAGTGCCCCCTTTTGGTCGCAGCGCGAGCTGCGCCCGGCCGTCACAGTCGGTCGCCCCGCACGGTGGTGTTGGTCCCCTCCTCGCGCTCCAAGCGCCCCCCATATGTTTTGGGGCTGTGTCTCTGCAAAAGCAGATTCGCTTGGAAGGTAAACTACAGGCTGCCAAGGGAGATTCCCTTCAACTGGGCGCGGGTCCGGGCAGCCGAACTCAAACGCTGTGGAAGGAATAAAGGAAGCAAGCGAGACCTTGCGCATCCCCTTCAGGGCGGGGAACCCCCGCGCAGAGTAGCGCGAACGCTCTTCACGCAAGACCGGCCATCTGGGGTCATCCCATTACCCTGCAGTGGAAAGCCAAACCGGGGGCGAGCTTCCTAGCCATGGCCTGGATCCCAGCCACATCGGGAGATGATGGGGACGGGATCGATATCGGGACTCCCCCTCGGCAGCTTCACATCGACGTCGGCTTGTAGTGGCCTTCATGGACGACTGAATACCTGCCGTCGGTCCGTAGCGTAGGGGCACCCGCTGAGGATGTGTACAGCTGATGCTTGTGTGTCAGGTGAAGGAGCAGTGTCCTGACTGATCAAAAGTCCCCTGATGGTCCTCGCGTAATGTCCCTTGCTGCTTATTTTGTAGTTTGGGTTATCTTGGGATATTGGAGAATCGCAAACATGAACTTACTTTTAGCCATCTTCGCATCTTCTGCTATTGTTGCTGTAGCCGCCTTCTCCTTGTATTGAAACCCTAGATGGTACACCGCCGAGAGTTTCTCAGCTTGGTAAATGATGGCTTCTTACATGCCTTGTCTTTTTGCGCCCCCTTAAAGAGGCATCCATTTTCGGTCGGCTTGTATGGCGAAGTCGCCTCATCACCGCGCCCTCTCCCTTCAGGCAGGTCAGCTAGTCCTAAGTTCCGCGACCACCGTTCCCCTCAATCAAGCTGAGAGTACTTCCGCTGCTGTACAGTACCCACTGTAGTCTGGGGCCCTTGCAGAGGCAACACAAGAACAGAAACCGTGCAGAACTGACTACGGGCCTCAAGCTGCTACCTCAAGTTTGGATTTCTTTTTCCCCCTTGCTCTCGGTACAGCGTGGGTGCAATGTGGGGTTCGGCCTGCAGAAGCAACAGCATAGAACACCAAAACTGAGCAGAACTGAGTAACTGAGTACCAGGAATTCCCGCCTCATTGTGGAGCTGTGGGAGTATGCTGGCGTTTTCGTATCAACACAGTGCAGACAAGGACCAGCTGAATTCGAGCCCTCTCTCTCGCTTTCTGTGTCAGCCAATATCTCAAAAGCGTGCAGACGCTTGTGGTACATCAATCGCCTAACAAGCCTAAGAGATTGGATCACGGCACGTCCTTCTCAAGCGTAGCAGCTGTCAATGGCACCTGGCCGTGCAACCAAGTAAGAGTGAAAGCCTGACTGAGAACTCCTGAACCGAGCGGCCACTGCCAAACCAAAGATGAGCACCTGGCGACACGAGTCACTTGGAGTCTTATGCTGAGGGCGGGGACCTAGTATGGCACCAGCAGGCACTCGAACGGCGAGCTCAGTAGAATGAACCTGCAGCTACTCTGCGTGGGGAGGCACCATGAAGCTCGCGAGTGAAGTCTGAGGCTACCACCACCTGATTGTGCCTTGCAACCGATTCCAGTAGAAGGTCCTGCAAATCGCAGCTTGAACACGAGCATGTTTAATATGTCGCGGTTCGCATGTACGCTTGTCTTGACAGTTTTCTGTGAACTGCCGTCTGCCCTCGGTCCAGCCCGTGCTGCTGCGCTGAAGGTAGATAGCGAACCTCGGCAGGTATCTCTTTGTTTGTATCTGCCAATGCACACTGGCAAATACTGGCAAAATACGATCCTCCGGATTTTGACCAGGTCACGTAATGGCCGCCGACATCAAAACGAAGGCCTGAAAGCCAAGGGACTTTGGCAGTCTCGACTTGTACTTGGCAAGCAGCACAGGCCTCGAAAGCGAAGAATGGTGCCAGGATGATGTAAAAGGACCTGATGCGACAAACGTCCAGGTCAACCACCATCATTGAAAAGTCATTGAAAAGAGAAGTTACCGTGCATCTGGGAAACAGGCGAGTTCAGAACCTCCAGCAGCTTCAACCAAAGGAGCGTGCTGCTGGCCACCAGCGCCCTGAGAGATCAATGACCCAAGTCCAGGCAAGTCGCGGGACGGAGAGACTCGGAGAGACTGAGAGCAGCGCAAGCAGAAGAGGCAATGGCCGAAACGCACCAGGAAGTAATTCAGTGCCCGACTCGACGGATGTGGAAATGACAAAGCGTCAAAGTCTTCTCGGCTTCTAAACCCTTTTCGTCAGTCCCTGGCAGTCTGCGCTGCTTCCGCTCCTGCTCACGTGCCTCGGCGGGGACGAGGGAAAGCACAGCCAGTGGCCCCGCGTTGCGCCTGCTCTCCGCGTTGTTGGAGCTCGTTTCGGGCCTGGCCAAAGGCCGAGGCAAGCAGCAGATCGCAGCAGCACCCCTCGCCGTCCGCTCTGAGGCGACCACAATCTCTAGGTCCAGAAGGTGTTCGCGACCTGAGGTCTGCAAGGTCTTAAAGACTCGGCGACCCCCCATGAATCCCCAACAGCACCCACAGACCACAAGCGACAAAAAACTTACTGGACGCTCAGCGCTGCAGCACAGCCGGCGTCAGAAGAGACAGCTGCGTGCTGCTGAGTCAAACACTCACAGCAGGTGGGAGGCTGTGTGACGATGTATGTGGAAGAGCGAGTGTGAGTGACTGCACGAGGAGGACCGAGTGACTGGAGTGACTGAGGGTGGATAGAGTCTTGGCTGCTCAAGCCTGCACAGAGACGCACGTCCAAGCCAAATACTTACATGCTTGATCACAACATCAGCGCTGGACAGATCAAGGGAACTGATTGATTCAGCACGAGGCAGCTTTCCCAGATGTTGCACCAAGGCCAGTGCGCTTGAACACATATAGTTGCCGTGGATGGAACTGCCGATGCATAGCCTTTCGATCAGTTCGCTGCTGTCTGATACAACAATCCCATAATGACTGCATGATAACCACAGCGAATTTGGACGTCTTCATCGTCAGGCTATCTTGGGATGCAAGAGCACAAGAGCACGATCAAGCATCCAGCCATCCATGTCAGCAGCATCGCTCGGTGTGTAAATGATGCCTGCCAGATCCCAGCGTAAAACATGACAAGCATTGTGCTCCCCTGCTCAGCGCCCAATCTGGAAACAAGCATGGGTGACGCTGAAGTCGACCCGCAGCAACATTTGCCAGAGCTCAGGGTTCTCCGACCTGTTTCAGGCACATGCCGACAGCACCCAGCCCCAGCTGGCCCGACGGGGGCCAAGCAGTTTCGACATCCTCTGGCAGGAAGAGCTGATGCATCCTCGCGAGGAGGGAAGAGAAGGTGCCGGAACGGGTCTAGGAGTCAAGCCGTCCGCCTGAGAGCTCCGTCGCTTCCAAGTTGCTCAAAACCCGCTGCCAGCACCTCGCCAGGCCCGTGCTCCGACGAAACATCCCTCACCTTTTGGTGCCAAGGAACTCATCCGGCAGAGGCGCCACGGCCGATCTCGGAACCTAAGAAACCAAGAGGAGCGAAAAGATCACCACGTCGATTCCGAGCCACGTGCCATGGACAGGAGCGCGTCTATGGCACCTGCTCTCCGTTGGCAAACCGCTGCTCAAATCCAGTCTTCTCTGTCTACACTGTGGCCTCCCTCCATCACCACGTCAACCGGATGCTGCTGTCTCTACACCCAAGTTTCATCGACTTACTTTCAAACCTGCTTGCAGCTGGAGTGGAAGCATCTAGTAAGCAACATGCTCTGCACCCTGATTTTTCAATGTACAAATCCATGCACAGTCTGTGACGCTTTCGGGCTCAGAACCACTGGACACAGATCTTTCGCGTAGCCAGTGCAGAACTTGTACCTCTGTATACTAGCATCTGTATGCGAGCGTGCAAAACCGCTGCAGGAGTCGGGGAACCGCTCCCTTTTACATGTCCTTAAACCCGGCGACACACTTGCGTGAGCTCCTTTTAGGTACTCCACACAAGATTTGCTTAGGAGGGAGTCGTCGTGAAACGAAAGGGTGAGAGAGAACGCATAACGAAGGTGTGAGACTACTACGCCAGGTTGTCCGGCTCGAGGAAAAGCCGCCGCGACCGGCGAAAAGCGCGTTCGAAGCGCTGTAGCGTCGCAACGAAGGCATCGTCCTTGTCCAAGGCTGGGTCAATGTGCTCCAACGTGGACTTCAGGGACATCCTGAGCCGCGACGCAAAGGCTTGGCATGCACACCGCTCTCTTTCTCGCTTCGTTTTCTCATGAGCTCCTCTTCTAGTAATGGCACTCGATTTACAGCCGGGTGCATGAAACTAGGATCACCGAAGATTCGGCCCTCGTGCTCTCAGGCACATGCTTGATGCCCTAGTAAGATCTTGGCTTATCAATGCACTTCATATAGATCACTCACGACGGAAAAGAGGCGGCAATGCTAGTTGAGTCGGCGGGTACGGCCAAAACACTTTTGCTGTCCCGTCACCACCATTTGCTATGTCGCTCTCATGCGTGCTGTGACAGCAGTGTGACAACCCGAGCTGCCTCCCGACCATAGTGGTTTCAATCTGAGCAGGAAGAACTGGCACCAAGAGTAGTTAGCAAAGGCTGGCAGCCAGCTCTTCACCCCGTCTCTTATCGACGACGAAGGCCACAAGTCCGACATCATGAGAAGGAGGAACCAAACCCCAAACCCTAAAGCTTGCCGACATCGGGCCCTGCTTGCGAACCTGTGTGCATGATCACCAGGGTTACTGAGTCATTCCTGGCGCGGTGTGCAGCAGATGTTGCGGACGCGCCCGGGAACGAGAGAAAGGACAAGTGTCATCGCAGCAGTTTTGCTGATGAGCAACCAACCCTGGACAACAACGACGACAGCACTAGATTCCTGGCTCCGGCCCCTCAACTTTTTAACAAATTGTTTAACAATGGTGAGATCTGCTGCCATCTCAAGTGGTTTTCCACCCAGTGCCACGAAGCCGGCCAAGACCAGGACTCAGTTTCACGTGCCTTCTGCAGAAGCGCCCTGCACCGAAAGAAACGGGTTGCAAGTCGCTCAGAAGGCGTGGGCGCAGTAAGGGCACTGAATTGTCTTAAAATTACTTCGCAGTGCTGCATCATATTTACGAATGCCTCGTTCAGCGGTTTCCGTAGAGCTGGACACTCCTAGCTTGCTTTCATGGACATACGTTTGGTGAACATGAACCTTTCTGACTTGGCCGGCCTGCTCCCTTCTTGGATTGTCTATGCGGGCTGACGAACTGGGTATATATCGGAACTTCGTAATTGAGATATGGCCAAGAAATTTCATCCGGCGTTTTCGTGCTGTTTACTAATAGGTGAATTTTCCTGGCATCACCTGGACTTGGGGATGCCGCATCAGATGCTGCTGTAAGAAGTCTTTGAATAGTATTTGCGCGGTTGAGAAAATGTCGGAGTCATACCCGTGATCTTTCAAAGGGTAAGATGGAAAGTAGCTTGATTACTACGGATCTGTGCATCACATCACGCAAAGAGTTCTTATCTTTCTGTAGCTCTACGTGCCTTCAAACGCGCGTTCAACTAAACCCACGTGGAGTGGACTTCTTGCAGCGTGTTTTTGTTTAGTCTGTTTGTGCAATGTTTATGTACCTTCATAGCTCTTGCTGGGTACAATACCATCATCAACATGAATATGACCATCATTATTCATGGGAGCACCTACTTCTATATATTTGAGCTGTGTTTCTGCTTCCGCGGCCTTCCGCGCTTCGAAGCACTGGCACGTTGCTGAGTCACTGCGTGTCGTCCCTTCCGCATGCCCTTCCGCGGACCGTTTTGCAAGCGAACCCTAAAGCAAGAGCATAAACCCCTCTTGACGTAAATCGCTAACTCCTTGCGGCAAATGCGGGCCAGATCCGCTCCAGGGAACAGGACTTCCTCTTGCTTCCTGGCCGTGCCTCGGGATCCCTGGAAGAAGACTGGCTCAAGTTAAGTCTCGTTCGACTGACGTATTCTTGTGGCACAGCGGCGGCTTGCGTAGTTGTTGCTTCCCCGCCCTTGCGCGGAGCAACGCCTTCCGAAGCCCTTCCGCTCACAAAGTCCCAGAGAGATGTTTATCGAGTGAAAGTCTTGTGTCCAGCTGTAGTCTTCCGTCAAGAGACGGAAATTAAGAACCGCTGCTCATTTGGGTTCAACCCATGCTGTTGCGAGATTCTCTCGGTGAGACTCAACAGTTCGCTAAATCCCCTACATGATTGTATGAAGAGGATGGTGTCGTCAGCATAGTAAACCATGTCAAAATCAAGATTAGGAGTACGATTCGGCTTGACTTCCTGGAGAATATGACTTTGGGCGTCTACATCATGTCATCGTATTCTTCCTGTGAATAGAAAGCTCGTCCTTCTAATGCGAACATGTGTTGTCGAAAGCCTTTTCCCGGTCAAGCCGTGCAAGACCCAGATTGAGGTTGAATACTTCTACTGTAAGCATGTAGATAGCGTCTAAAAACCAAGACATTTCTGGAGACTCCCGGTGCAGGTCTTTCAACTTCACACACAGGACGCTAAGCAAGCGGCCACGGGCACAGTGCCAATGGTGCTGCTTGGACAAGCTCATCTATTGCTCAGCACCAACTTTGAGCAGCCAGTCCCAATACTTGGGAGGCGAACCGAAGCACGTCAAGCAACAAGCAGATAATGGATCCAAAACGCAGTGTGCACTGTCAGATTCAACCACATCCGCGAGCCGCCCAAGCCAATCAACCCCTGCTGCAAGCCTCGTCCCACAGCCAAGTGCAACTGTTCGACACGCAACGCAAGCCTCTCAGGGTTGCCTCCACGGAGGGCCAAAGCCAGATGAAGAATGAAAACTACCAAGGTCATCCAGGTCAACATCAGGCAAATACGTCTTCTGGAGACACTCCAGTTGTGGGAGGAAGAATCCATCTCTACGAAGAACGAAAATGGTGTGTCCCTGTAGGTCTGTATGGAAACTCCACGTCCGAAGATTTAGCACTTCGACAATCATCACTCAGCTATTCGGAGCATGATTCCCAAGCAAACTGTGCCATCTGTACCACACGCCGTATCGACTTTGAAGTCAACATGGACACACTCATGCAGCAACACTCCCCATCTGTTTTCTTTCCTGTACACATTGGCGGGATCATGCGAGATTGGCGAGTACTAGTAAGACACCAAGAGCAACAAGAACGGGTGCGGTCCCGGTTGCTCCGGCAGGAGTTGTACACATGATGCATGCAGTATATTGCAGTATGATATCCTCAATCATCGCATGACAGTCTCGCTCCATCTCCGTGTTGTGCCAAGCTGCAGCATGTCCTTCAAACCTTCGAAGGCGCTAAGTAGCTCGTTGGCATGGTCTGCAGCCTTCTGGGCAAGATCACCTCAAGGACTCGAGGCGGAAGTTGCTATGCTGTGGCGGCCTCGTGCATTGCCCCTCGCCTCGGGCATTTCCCTGATTCGCGTCCCCTGATGTGCCAAGCCTCAGATCTCAGAAGTCCAAAGCGCAGCAGCCTAGAACACACACCTCTTCGACTGGCGAGGCACAGCTTGAAGGCGTAGCTTTCTAGAGGCACGCCTTGCCCGTCTCTCGGAGCAAGGGCATGGGAGCCTAGTAGAGTCGACGCTTCATTCGCAGTGACCTGGCGAAGGGGGAAAGTCTCGAAACAGAGGAGGCGAGGGCTTCGGTGTCGGACCTGGTGGTCCGGGAAAACCACGTTTGGTGCCGATGAGAGCTTCTCCAGGAGGTAGGGCTGCGTTTTCAGCTTCTCCCCACGGAGCGAGAGCACGTGGTCCGTCAACAGAAGAAGCCTCGCGTCGTGATCCTTCTCCCGCTTGTTGGATGGTAGCACAGAGGCTGCCAGCTCCCCAAAAGCATGCACAAAGCCCTCGAGGCACTTCAAGGTGATGGCCTGAGCACACCGAGGCTACAGTGCTCCGGGTACGGTGACACGATACGGTGATTCTCATGAAGCAACACAGCAAGCACGACGGCAGCACCTTCTGGTGCTGCACTCGAGGCCACGGCAGAAGCCGCTCCTTACGTGCGCGCTTCAATCGGCTCTGCTGCTCAACTGCGACTGCCTCTGCCCTCTGTGCTTGGATGCGATGCACGTGCAACTGACACGACGAGTCTCTTTCTCTGCTGAAATTATAAGTGGCTCCAATGCCAGGATAGCTTTGACAGAGGGCTGTAATGCCTCTACTGCATGAACTTCCCGGTTCCGAAGCCAAGCCGACCTCGGGTACATCTCTCGGGCCAACACGCCGGACACTGCACACCACCAGTATGCACCAGCGCAGCGCATCTCAAGTCAAGAAGCTCCCAGGCATGCCAGGCACTGGCAAACTTTCGTATCATAGCATCCGGCAGGCGGTCGATCTCTTTCGACGCTTTCTGCCTGATCTTGGCGACCAGCGCCTTGTAGGAGATAACCAGGTTATCCCGAAGAACGAGGACCTTCCAGGGACGATGCTTCCTCTTATTGAGCTCTACTCCGTGAGCCGTCCTCGGGATCGAAAAGGAGCTGTGCGCCGTTGATTGTCCTGTGTTCAGAGTCTGCAGAAGCCTTCGATGCCACATGCAAGGTCTGAGCCAAGGCTCTCATAGGCTCCCAGCTCCAAGGCTTGCATGAAAACGGCGGGCGGCAGCAACTCTCCCGATTCGAAGAGGTACCGGAAGCGGGGGAAATCCTCCCGCTCCTGCGACGCCACCCGCTCGAACTTCCCAACCTGACCACTTTGAGCTCTTTGGTCGTGCAATCTGCTGCGTCCCTCTCCGCTCTTCTTCCCCCGTGCCTCCAAGGCTTCTGAGATTGCATTCAGGTTTCGAGGGATCCTCGGAGAACCGTCATTGTCAAGATGGTGTAGGGTTTATAGGGTTTCTGCGACCAGAGCAGTAAGCAAGCGGAGAACTCTTTCCATCTCCTGCAAGTGCTCCCTATGCAGGTCTCTGAGCTTGTCGGCACCGGCTTTGTGGCACAGTCTCCCATGTCTTGCCCTTTGTCCCTGTAGGCTTGTTACTTCTAGGCGCTCGAAGCACAGCAGTTCTGCTCAATCTACAGTAGCAGAGAGGCGGACCTGCCATGACCGGGGGGGTCTTCTTTCAAAATCAGCGGGCAACTAAGGCAGTAGCTCAGCTCTGTTCGAAGGTTTGCAGTAATCTTCTCGCAAAGCTCTGACTCCCAGTGTCGCGTTTCCCGCCATCGCAGTACCTGCCGTCTGCAGCACCTTCGCCATCTGGCCATGAAAGCCTGTGGGCCCCAGTTTTGACCCGAGATGCTGCGCAAAGTTCCAGCACCTGAGTACCCTTCGTGAGCGTGCTCAGACATACAGGTCGCCCTGCAAGGCAGCCTTTTGCGCGACGACATGAGCGGTCCTTTCTTTGGCAGTAGGCTGCTAAGGAACACGCGCCGTTGCAAATCTCACTGCGACTGTACCTGACGGATCCCAACTGTCGCCGGCTGTGCAGCTCGGATACCCTGAGAGCCTCTTGGAGCCAGCAGTCCAGCAGCTCGGGTGAACGCGCGTGGGGGACCAGCGGCAGTGCCCCCAGGCGCCGCAGCTCTGCATGGTAAACCTCGTGACAGAGCACCGTGGTCCAGCATGGTCCAGCAACCCCCCTTGTCTGCAAGCTTTATTGCCGCTTCTCTCTGTTACTTTGTTGCAATGCAAGATTGAACACCAGCGAGATTTCTCTGACCAACTCGCAATTCTCAAATGAGTCCTATCGATCGGTAGCGAACCCTAACTTCAAGCCGGCGGGTGCATAGGGCGCCGTGTTACTTGTTTGGACTTTCTTCCGCTTTCAGCACATCTTGGATGCTTCCATGGGGTGGGGGGTGCTGCGAGATAATGAGATGTCCAACACATTGGTATTCTCATGTGTTTACGGAGTTTTTGCCGGTTTAATATGCAACAACATACTGCGGAAGGATGCGCATGGGACCTCAACGCAGACGCACTGCCACAAGCATTCAAGCCTCATGTGAGCGTGCCCAAGAGACTGGTATTTGCAGCGTTTGGACACATTATGCAACATCAGGAGACGCACTGTTACAAGCATTCATGCTTTGTGCGAGCATGCCTCACTCACAGTGCCTTTGCCTCCTCATCGCGCAACATAGTGTGCAACGATAGGGTTACGGCCCAGTTACGGCGATGATACTGCGATGATACTGAGTCCGTGATGATGCTGATGAGGATGAGGATGAGGATGAGGATGAGGATGAGGATGAGGATGATGATGATGATGATGGTCACTACAACAACGATAAATAAATGGCTGGGTGAAACCTTGCTCAACATACAATAGTTTCCGGCAGGTGCTATAACTATGCTGCTATGCTATTTTCTGACCATGTCGTGTCTGAACATGTACGAAATGCCTCGGTTTCCTGCACTGCTAAGAATGGCTCGGCGACCTACTATGCGCTTGCATCCAAGTTGAAAAATCAGACATATCAGCAGACTATTACATGCATGGTACGAGACACTGCTTTGCATTGCGGCCACCGCTTTGCAGTTGAACTGCCGGCCCAAGTCCATCAGTGACTTGCCGCAACGTAATGCAATGTACGTTCTCCAACTAAAGTTCAAAGACTGGTAGATACCTTAGCCTTAGATACCTCAGAACACATCCGGAGCTTCCTGCAGTGGGCGAGTGGCACAGTAATGCTTAGAAGTGCTTTCAAGCAAAACTCGTCTTCCACAGCCCGAAGGGCCAGGACTTCCCATCGCCCCGCACGCACAAGCAGAACTTTGCTTGGCTCGGGGCCTGAGCCACAGGCCCTGCCCTGTGGCCCGCGCGATGCACTGCCCCATGCATCGTTTCGATGGATGGGCTAGCTGTAGCAAACTCCGTGCGCAAACTCCGTCTCTCTCACGCTCTTGCTCTCGCCCTCGCAAGCACAACGGAATCCAGTCGCTCTCGCTCTTGCAGCGTCAAAAAGCTCAGCCCCGTTCCTTCAAGGCGGAACTCAAAGCGGCGGGCGAGGCCTGGACTGAGCAGCTGAGGTTCTGGAGAAACGGGTCGGATCGGGAGACTGGCCTTGACGGTCTGCCGAAGGAGGTGGTGAGCCTCCGAAGCCGGGAGCTCCGACATCCTCCAGAGCTGTCGAACCAGTCTCCTGAACGCAGAGCTGAGCCTCGGAGCATGCCTCGTGGCCTCTCCCGTCCCCCCCAGCCTCGCAACGTCGAAGCGCTGCTGCAGCCGCCGAGCATCAGCATCGGCGACTCCCCCATCGTCGTCACAGCCTCGCAAGGTCCAAGCAGAGCCTAGGCCGGGCAGTGAGTGGCCCGGGCCTTTGTGATAGGCGTCCTGATACTCCAGACGCCAGCGGCAGAGTTGCAGCTTCAGCTCCCGTAAGGTTTCCATGTCCTGCATTGCAAAAATTGCACTGCTACGCTGCTGCAGCACTTACATTTGACTTACATCAACGCGTCGACGTCTTCCGGCCGCTTCCTTGAACCGCCGCTGCAAGGACTCGAGGTGGAAATCTCGCACCTCACCTCGCTCAGTCGCGAATGCTCGGAACACCCATCACATCGCTCTTGCCAAGACTGCCCGATGTGATGACGGTGCCGCAGAGTGGCGGTCAAGCCGACCGTAGTCGGCTTCGCAAGCCTTCCACGCTTCCTCAAGCTTCGGCATGTAGCCTGCAACACGCGTGTCGGTAGGGACTGCAGGGACTGCCGATTGCCAGCACAGGGCCCGCGCGAGACCGGAGCTCGCCCGCCAGGCCTTCCAGCTTTTGACGAGCTGCCTCGAGGCCGAACACGAAAGCACTTGGCAGCACAGTTTGGGGAAGTTTGCGGCATGTCCCCAATTATTGCAAAGAGCTCCTTTTGTGTCATCTGCCCCCGCTCCTCGGCCACAGAACGAAGTTGCTGCAAAGGCTCCGGGTCCTCTCCACCTGCTGTGCATTCAGCTCCGGCTTCTCCGGCTTCTCGAGTCTCATGTGTTCTTGCTGACAGAAGGGCACCTGGAGCTCCCAGCAATCTGGAAGGAGCAGAGGCCTGAATTGCCTGTTCAAGATCCTGCCAGGTACAGAATCTGAAAAGGAGCGGGTCGGCGAGTGGCGGTACCAGCGGTACCAGCTGCTTCGCGAACCCTGCTTCGCGCACTACGAAAGCCTCCAGCGGGCGGTCCTTCAGAGCTTCTTTGAGCTCCGTGTCTGCTTCAACCTGCAGATGATCCAGGTCCGCTCGCTGCGAGCGCATCCAGCCCTGTTTCTCCTCAAAGCACTTCGGATTACGATCAGAAGAGGTCACAAGCAGATGAAGTAAGCACCCCACCGTAGAAAGATTCCCTTCCAACTCGCCAGTCTCCCAAATCTGCACATCCCGAGTTCGGACATCCAGCTCGACACCAGAAAGATTCAGGACACAAGATCCGAGGCGGCACAAGACAACAGATGAAGCGGACTTGGCAATGACTGTCAGTCAGCACTTCTAGGGCTACATGCTCCCACGCAGACGATATTTGACAATATCCAAACAAGTGGAGCAGCTCTGACAACCTCACAGTGATGACTGATGACTGTGACACATGCACACGGTTCTTAGAAGCAGCTGCCTGTTGTAGATCTTCCACGCGAGCACCGCCAACACGACCCGAACTGCGGTGTGCCTGGCGGAAGTGTCGAGAGCACAAGGTGGCAGGGGGCCATGCGACAATGGCGTTTTGCCTCAACATGATGACGCCAAAGGTTCCTGCAAAGCACACTGACACGCACCGACGCTGAGGGACCCAGCCAACCTCACTACATGCGGCCTACATGCGTGACTTCATTGTCCACTACACTGTGTAGACTCCACCCAGCCTTTGGAGCAGCTCCTCCAGATGCTGCCTGGGATCACACGTCAAGCTCGTCTCTGTCTTCGGGTGATCTATATAGACTCGCACCACAGACCATACTGGTACAGGACCGTGTGCCCCTCTCCGGGCCCCGGAGCCACTTGGAGGCCATGGCTTGGTCGAAGGCGGCACCCAAGCCTCCCATCTCGCATCCGCTCACGCCCACCACAGATCGGCGCGCTCGGCTCAGGCTGCTGCGGGCCAGCTGCTGTCGCGCCAGGCGCTGTCCCTGGCATTCCCAAGCTCCCTCCTTTTTGTCCATGCGCGAGCTCCCTCAGTATTCCGTCTCCTCTGAGCTGCGCGCCAGCTTCTCGCGGCCTGCTGCAAAGCTGCGAAGCTCTCGACAAAAGGCCTCGTCACCTTGGAAACGCGTCTGCAGCGTTGGCAACGTCCAACAAACGAGCCTCGGAAAGGCGGCAAAATGCGGCAAAGCGGCAGTCCTCCTTGGCTTTCCTTGCAGCGGTCGTCGACGAGCGCCGCTCCTCTAAACTTCTACGAAGAAAGCGGGTTTGTCGCCGTTCCACCCGTTCCACGCCTCCTCCTGATCGGAGACCTGCGTGTGCAGGTGGTCAATGACCCTGGAGGCGAGGGACTCGCTCTTCGTGGCGCCGGCCTTTAAGCAGAGTGAGCGGGAACGGCCGCGCGGGCGCCATCTGGGCGCGCACTCCGCGCCTGGCCTGCTCCACCTGGAGGGCTCGCTCCAGGACCGAGCGCTGGCTCTCGGACCAGCGCCGCAGGCGCGCGGCCTGCGACATGTGCCGTAAGGAGTGCTCTGAGACGGCGCTCGGCGCTCGCCTGATGTTCGAGGACGGCTTCCTCGACGTTCACCAGTAGGCAGTCCACCTGCGAGCCAAAGCCCAAAGGCATCCAAAGGCACAGGCCTTTGGCGCATCCCCGCGCTTTGCAAAGGCGCCTTCTCGGCCAGGCGTCTCTCAGCGGGCGGCCTCGGAAACCGCACGGGGCCCGAGACCGGAACAAAGCGACGATGCAAACAAAGGGCCTTTGCGCCATGGCACTGCGCAGCTCAGGCAGCTCAGGATCATGACCCCTTTAGCTGAAGGCATGCGTTGCACGGCTAAGTTGTGGTCGGAAGTGACGGAGGCCAAGGGATAGGATCATTCCCAAAACAAAACCGCTGGTCTTGTAGACAACAATACTCTCAAGAAGAGCTCGCCGCAAAAGAAGAGGGATGGCTGCAGCTGAGCCGTATAGGCATTTGTACAAATTCTCTTGCGGTCCCTCCTGCGGCTCAGCCAACAATGGTAGTTCTCAGGGGCCCAAGCCGTTTTAGCTGCAGCGCAATAGTCCCTTCGTCCGCTCGTGGCAGACTCTGTGACTGTAGGCTGCCTGTACCTTGGTGTCCCTTCCGGGACAGCCAGCGCTCCGTGCGCTCCTGTGCACTGTGGGCGGCCACAGCAAAGGCTCAAAGTCCCATTCAAAAGGGGCCTGGTTTCAACAAATACTAAATAACTAAATTTCACACTCAGCTGGGTCCGGAAAAAGGCACGTCACCTTGGCATCTCTAGAACTAGGCAGAAGCGGCCCTGAACCCAGCTGCTTCTCGAATGCTCTGGAGAAGACATCTTGCGGAACTCATTAAACATGCACATCTCCAGGCCAACTGCGAAGCCGCCTGTCGTTACCCCACAAGCCGTCCTCATCCCCTTCATGTCCGAAAGTCGTGCCGATAGCACCGAACTTGATCTTGCTGAAAGCAACTCGGGCTGTCGGATACTTTTCACGCACATATGACGGACTGCCCGTGTCTGTTCGACAAGGACCACGGCTTACTCCTGGAGCAGAGGACTTCCTGTCCGAAGGATAATCAGAGTCCAGCCACAACATGTTCGCCTGGGAATCATCCCAGAGAGAAAGAACAAGCACCATGCCTCGAGCCAAAGCATCCCCCATTGTCTTCAGGCCCCCTTTACGATCGAAGTCGTCGATGTCGCCAAAGGTCTTTTTCATCTTTGCACAGAGTTTATCTGAAATGGAGTTGCCAGAAAAGCCAGCGACAGATACGTTCGAGTTAGGGATGACCTGCCCGTCCTGCACGTAGAATCGTCGGATGTCAACCAGGGCTCCATCGTCCGCGTTTCCTTCTGTGATAAACTGAGTCACCACAGTGACCGGCTTGCGTGAGTTGATGTCAAAGGTGTGACCTCGACCATAGAAGTTCCGTACTCCGAGACGCCAGGAGTTGAAGTCACAGCCATCCTTGTCGCAAACACCATCGTATCTCTGGCCTTTACGGGTGTCACCACAGTCAAGACCGTCACAAACATACTGACCTTCAATGGAACATGGGTGCGGAGTGTAAGCAGTGGCCCGGCTGTTAGCCTCCCAAATGTCCATCTCTTGGCAACAGCTGCCCCATTGCCCAATGGGCGGGTCGTGGCTGGCATTCCAGTTAAGTACGTTTGCCCGGCCATTCATGAACTTGATGTCATGAGGGCATTGTGCATCGCAGTAGCCAGTCCCATACTTGGCTCCAGCACGATTCGACCCGCCGCTGCGTGAAACACCACCATCGCGGTCCATTTCAACGAAGTAGACGGCCCCATTCAGACCGCAGGGCATGTAGAACATATCCACTGTCAGTGAGAATTCCTGAGCAGGCGCAGTACAGTACCGGAATGTGCCAACCTGAAAAAGCATAAAACACTTGCTGCATGCTCTGGCATGCACATGCTACCCGGCCCACACTGTCAGGCTCCTTGGCACTTCGTGGCCGTTCTTTTCCGCCGTCCCAAGTTCTCCGCCCCCGAAACTCCTGGTACAGCCACAGTACAGTAACCGTTTTGGCAGCGAGTCATGCTTCCGCCTCCCAGACTCGTGCTTGAGACCGCAGCTCGCACATTTTGGCGTGGAGCAGAGCATCATGTGTCCGTGTGCCATCATCGTACTTGCGCCAGAGTGCAGCACGTTTCGTGTCATCACGACGCTCCAAATGCTGGGGGTAACATTTTGAGGGCGGTTGGCTCCAGTTTCCTGGTGGTCGTGGCGGTTGGGGGGTGGTCGGGGGTCCTGGGGTGGTCGTTGCAGTGAACGGGGTCTTCAGGAACTTCGTGGTTGTCGCGGTGGTCCTGGTGGTCCTAGTCGTCGTGGTGCTTGTGGTCATTGTGGTCCTCGTGCTCGTCCTGGTGCTCCTGGTTGTCTTGGTCGTCGTGGTCGCGATGCTCGTGGTTGCAGAGGTCAGTCTTTCGCAGTTTGGGGATCTACTCTCCAGGGTGTTGGGGCGCAAGTGCTTCTCCGAAGCACGAGCCATATCCATCCCACGACACCGCAGATTGTGGCAAGGATCTCTGTTCTTCAGCTTGAAGATCTTGTAGCTGTCGGAATCATCCAGCATGTAGATACGGCTCCCGAAATTAGAGCCGTACTGTGTCTTCGTAACGAAGTTTAATTTCATGCCGTCATCGATCCTCGTGACTCCGTAGGTTTTCCCGTATTGGTCCTGTGCCAGGGTCAGACTCTCGGAATCTCTGCCTGGCCCCTTCTACCCCCCAGGATACTGACCTGTGATGCGGTACCGTCGGACCCTCCAGCCCCACCAAATGACCTAAAAGCTTTGGACTGGCTGTCCTCGGAGATGCCCTCAAGATAACAGTTGCTTGCACAGGTCTTCGGATCTGGACACAAGTCCTTGTCCCAGTCGCCATCCTTGTAACAGTTCCTTAGTTCTGCAAGCCACACACGTTTGCGGGCGCACCCCCCCTACATCTACATCTTGACCGCCGGACGGATCATTGCATGCCTGTCTCGCGCGAAATGCACAAGTCCCTTTTCAGGCATCTCCTTCTCTCGACTACGCTGACAACTGGCTTTTTCCTCTTCGTTTTTGGGTCAGATCCGACTTCCCACATCGAGCTTGACTTAGGCTTGTGTGTTGACGAAGGCGTTCAGTGTGCCGGCCTAGCTAGGGGCTCCACCTGTGACTCACGGCACTGCGTGCAGCTCGAGCTGCTTGTACTGGCCATTGTGGACCCAACGCCAGTTGGCATCAAGAACCTAAGAAAAAAACAGGGGTCGCAAATAACGACCCTGTCGGATGTCATCCTGTCTTGGAGGCTTAACAAGCTGATGGCGACACAGGATGACACAAGATACAGATGATACAGCAGAAGCAGGCACTGTGTTGAGCCTGGCTACGGCTGTCTTCATTTCCTTGACACAGCCCGAGGCATCGCAGGTCCAGAGGGGCAGCTCCTCCACTGGCGTCCAGTCCAGTGCCGTCTATGCACTGATGATCAGTTCTCTCCCAGCCCAGCGGTCCGGATGGGACTCGACGACTTGGGTCCCTGGCTTCTGAGCCAGAGCCGTCGCGAGGAGACCAAGCCACGGCAGTGGTGTCATGCCTCAGGGATTGGATTCGGACCAGGGTTCTCATGGTGTCGACGCTATCCAGCTGAGGCACCGGTGGTGGTTGGGCTCTGAAATTGGTGCGCGGACTTCGCTCGTCAGCAAAATGCTGCAAAGGACGGAAACCGATATTGCTTCCACACATCGCGAGGCATCTGTGCTAGCTTGGCAAGCTTCGAGCTGCACACCCTCAACGCAACAGCTTTTTTTTTCTCGGATTCACGTGCGACTCGTTGGAAACACTCGCATCTCAACACGCCTCAGCTCAAACCGGTTCGTCAGTGCTGCTTGCAGAATTCGAACGGAGGAGACGCGCTGCGAAAGCTGGGTTGCGTACGCACTCCGTCTGGCTGGACCTGCCTGATCTTCCAGAACAAGCTTGTTCAAGCAACATCCCATACGGAACACCCTTGAACACCATCGGGCCCGGAGGCTGGCGGTCGTTGTGTCAGCAAAGGCTACAGAGTCGCCAGGGGCGAAACTCTCCGACTGCTCGGACTGGCCGAATCTCAGAGCCAAGCCCTGCAGTTGGAAGTTGTTCGTCGGATCATCCTGTCTCAACTCTACGAAGGCTGGCGCCACTTCGTGAAGCCGCCACAGCCTCGCGATCTCTGCGATGCTGGGTCGTGTTGTAAATCTCCTGACACAGAAGAAGATCAGCTTCTCGGGATTTCGATGAACCCCCCAACGACCCGAAGTCAGCAGCGCTGCCTCACCCAACAGTGTTGAGAAACGTGCATGGAAAAAAAGGGAAGCTCCAAATATATCAAGGGATGACCCGGGAAGTCGGGATCGGCAACTGCGATCCTGCGGCATTCTTCTTCCTTTCCCCCAACGAAGTTCACAGCGAGCCATACAACGTTTAATGCACATGGGCTACAACAAAATCCTCACGAAGAACTCAGAGTCCTACCTCCTGACGAATCTGACGACGGAATGCACATGAATCTTTGCTCGGCTGTGACTATCGAACATGAAGTAAACACACGGCTCGCGCGAAGGATTCGACGAAGAAGTATCGTCCAGCACAATACAAAAGGTAGCGATGAGGTCAGCGTGTCTGGAAGTTGAAGACTCGTTGATCAGGCAGGGGACATCTCAGAGATGCACGTGGCATAAATCACGCTGTGCATGCACCATGAACGATGCTTTCATGACGGCGAAACACCTTCGTTTGCTTGCATTATCATTACTTGCATGCCACATCGCACCCACAATTTATGTCATTGACCAACTTCTGTTGGGAGAGGTTGGGACAAAGTGCCCTTTGGCCCACAAGTGCTCGAGCTTGGATTGTGTCGGCGTCGGGGAGGGCCGTGTTGCCGGGATCACATCCGAGAGACATGTTTGGCAGCACACAACTACTGGTACAGCGGTTCACAGTGTCTGAAATCCCCGCTTTCAGAAGCTTGTCGAAGCAGAGCTTGATATTCGCGCCAGTCACAGCGCTCGCCTTCACAGGTTTCAAACGGTCGACTGCAGTCAGGCTGACTTAGAGACTTCACATGAAGCCGGCATCAAGATTTTGTGCTTACGCCAGCTTCGTCCTTAAATTAGGTTGATTAGGGCGCCCCCTATCGTTTTACAGTGTTTGCAGCTTCAAGCATATGTTGGAACTGCTGTAGACTGGTGAGATACAGTATAGACACTATAAACCATGCGGCATTGCAGCCTTGAGTTGGGGCTTGTGGGGTCTTTTGAGGTCCTTGGATCTTTGGATTTTGAGCTTCCCTTGCTTGGCACTTCGAATGGGCGCGGCCTAGTGCAGTCGTCAAGAATTGGTTTCGGGAAGCATGCGATGGGTTGGAATCTTCTCGGGCTTCTGGGCTGAGCAATAGTATTGAGACCGTACACGGACTGCCACGGGCCCATCTAGGCCTTTCGGGGCTGCATTTTGGGTATCGTTCGGGTATCGCTCTGTCCAATTTGGGGACGTCGTCTAATTTCCAAAACTTCCGTGCCGAAAGCCTTGACACAATTCTTAAACACTGAACTCCGGAAGCAAGAAGTTAAGGTTATAATGGTAGTAACATTGGTGAATTTGGGGTTTAGAGACGTATGCCAGCTTGCAAAATCAACAGTGCGGACCACTGTCCACTTTTCAGCTTTAAACTCAAGAAGTCTTCGGTGAAGTGCGTTTGACAAGGACTCTATACAAACAAATGCTAAAGCAATTCTTATGCAAGTACAAGCACATAGTGTCCCTAGCATACGGAGGTCAACACGGCGTTCCTAAACCAGAGTCCTGAAGACAGGGGACAATCACACCAGTTCTATCTCCGTGTGACGGATCGTGATACGAAAAACCATGTCAGCTGCTTTGGCCTGCGTGACGGCGTGAGTGTGCAGTGATTTCCATGCACGTACCGAATTAGGTTGTGGCCTCATCGGACGCTGGTTCATCTCCCGAACTGTGTCGGGGCTCGGCTGTCGGAACAAAAGTGGCAAAGCGATCTACCTTATCGGCAGTCGTTGGCTCGTTCTCCGTAGTCGCGGGCGGCTTTGGCATACGGTCCGTCACAATGACTTTGTTGGAGCTAATGGCCTCATTCAAGAGGCGTGGCTTCATTGACTTTGTCAGGCAAACAACCAGTTGCAAATGCGTGGCTATCCATCTGAGAATATCCCCGTAGGGCGCGAATGCCTCGTGACTAGGGATGTCATCTTCCCAAAACGTTTGTCATAACCCGACGAGCTCTATGCTCAACCGTTTGTCTTCTACTTGTTTTGGGATTGGGGAAAGGAGGTGATCTGTGAGGCTCCTACACTCGCTGTATTGGACATGTAGCATGCTCCGCCTCGCAACCTCTTCCCACTGCCCGCGCACAGGGAGCCTTCCTAGAATCTCAAGTGCAGCGGCTCGAAGTCTATCGCCGTGCTCTGTGGCGTGCTGTAGCGAATACGCGTCGCATTGCAACATAGCGCGACACACAAGCTTCATAGTGGATGAGCTAGATGATAGAAGATGCATGTCGTGCGTGTCGGCGTTTCCGTTGACTGCATCCCTGTGCGATGTCAGGTAGTGGATGCGACCACGTACGGTGGGATTTATGCCCAGCTTCTCCTGCGAATGAAGCGTCACAGAACGTGACTACGGCTAGCTCTGTTTGTGCTCCATGGCAGCCGGACCTTATAGACTATACTTCTCTCAGCATCATTCAGGGCCAAAACTATACAACGCGATTCGCCTCGCGGAGGGTTTCCACGGTGGCTGTTGTCACTCGCTGCTGGAGAGCATTGACCCGATAGGCCATGTCAGGCCGTGTGGCACGTGCTACGCATGCCAATGAACCGATAACTGAGTGTAAAGCTGTACGCTGAACACTCGACACAAGGGTAGTGCTTTTCTCACTTCTGTGAGAATCTCGAAAGGCCTCATAGCCCTCATATTGTCACGGCAGTTAATCACAATGGTGCCGTCAAGGTGTTGTACATATTCTCTGCCACAGAATCGGATCTGATCCTGCTCAATACGCCCAATCTTAAATCGATCCAAGAGCTTCTGAGTTGCGAGTTCTCCTTTACCATGTGCTGCCCACAGAAAGTCGTCTACGTGCGTGCATAAAGCTGCGCATAGTGTGCCCGTGTCATCCACCAAAAAGTAGAGAGCTGAGAGAATTTGCGAAGGTTTCAAACCAAACTCGAGGCTACTCTCCCTTGTGCGGAGATACAAGTTCCTGCCGGCATTCGTTGTGCCGTAGACGGGTACCTTGGCTGTCATGAAGCCTGCTTCCTGGATCTCTGGGTCTGGTACCCCTTTTGGGAGTTTGGGAACGCGAACGTAATGTCAGCAGCTTATAGTCGCAGACCCAGCGAGACTGCCCAGATACAGATGAGGGCTATTCTTTCCTGCTCTGCCGTGAGGGAATCGGCGTGTATGTCTTCCCCGTTCATCTGCTCGCAGTTGCCAAACGCCACTAGTTGAGCCTTCCACTTAGGCGTATAGCCGGGCGTTCCAACCAAGTGCTCATTTTTGTCGGTAAGGACCTACTTCGTGGGTATATACAGACGTGCCCTGCGCGTATAAGTTCATTCATCTCCTTGGCGGTGCAAGGGACTACCGCATTGAATTCTACGTACTTCTGCCACTCTGTCTCCATGGCTTTGTCAAGCCCGAGCTGTACGGAGACTGAGGCCTTATGGTAGTCCATCAGACTTGCCAAGAAAGAAGCACCATCTCCATGAGCAGTGTCTTCAGGGCTCGTTTCCCAAATCGTGGCCTCTGGCGGTTAGGACTCATGCTGCTATGCGCGTTTTCACATGGGACGCCTCTGGATCAACAGGATGGTCTTCCAGGGTCACCCTTCGACCAAACTTTTCTACGATGTACGTTGCGATCCCGTGCCGATGGCATCGCTCCCAATTATAGACTCAGCACACAGCATCGCTACACGATGATACTCGTCATCAACCCTGGAGATTATTAATTCTCTGCATGGTGGACTGAGAGTTCGCTGTCTCAAGCAATGCTTTAATGCCCCCTTCAGCGCGGTTCCCCAACTCAGGGAACGCACGTATGGAATGCCGTTATAGCGGAAAAGATCGGTCTCTCTACAGAAATGGGGGTATCGCGCGCTCACTGGATTGCTACGGACGTCGACTATCTCCTTGATTCGGTGATCAAGCAATCTTTGAGTGAGGGATTCTGCTGTCATACACGAGTGGCCTATGGTATGCATTCCGCTGTTCTGCTCCTGGAACTCAGCAACGTTACCGGTCGAATAAGATGGGAATCCAAAGCTGCGACAAGAAGACTATGTCCTGCCGGCTCAAATAATCCATATCGGTCATCGTGAAGCCCGAAATACTGAATCTTTCACCCGTGAAGGGCATCACAAGATGGTGTCCTCTTCGGACCGCCGCATAGGCGTTGAGTTGCGTTGCGACGTCCTCGTCGTCAAGCCATGCCTCTTCGTCGTCGGCCGAACCTGCTGGCATTACCGCCGCGTACGCATCGTGCTCATCCTCAAGTGGTATACCTGGGTCTGCTCCTTCGAAGTCGTCTTCACCATCGCCGTAGCCAATGCACCCATACTTCGGGGCTGTGTTCTGCTGTCGTGCTACCCAGGGTCAAAACCCTGGTCCATGGGAATTCGACTTCTCGGTGCGGTGAGAAGCCTCTCTTTCATGTGCGCCATGGAGTGATGCTGCACAAGCACTTTGGTGTATTCCTTTACCGTGTGTGCACGGGCCGCCGTCTTGATCATGAGTTGCTCCTGTCGGCTTAAACCAGACAGTTCGACAAGTCGGTTTGCACTCATCGCTTCTGACAGCCTCATGTCGGGATCCAACTCACGAAGGGTGGACCACCACCTCTTTCGGCGGGCGATGTACAAAAGCATGGGCTCGCCCCGCTGCCTAGTGAAGGGCCCAGTGATCAACTGCCTTTGTCGAAACAACTCCGAAGCCTCCTCTGACTGGAGGGGAAAGGCTTGTTGTTTGTCCCTGCAGCATTCGGCTCCGATTTAAGCCTAAAGCTATGGATGCCTTTTGCTTAGGCCTTTGCCGAACCGCTTCACCGTCGACTGGCTCCTGGCCAATGCTGCAGCGCGCATATCCTGAAGCTTCTCCTTGTGTTGCAACATGCATATTCGTGTTCTACATTCCCAGTGGTGATAGGCTGAGGCAGTGCTAGTATAGATATACGATCTGAACTTTGTCTCAACAGGGGCTGCAGTGTGACCCCACTCGGTCGATTGGTGTTTCAAGCCTGCAACACTCATGGACTCGATCTGAACTACCCTGGACAAGCTAGGGGGCTCTACCCTACATCAAATTACTTCCTACAACACGAGTGATACAGCACTACGATCCGCTGGCTCCGCTGCCAATTTGAGACGTATGCCAGCTTACGGAGTCAACTCAACAACGTGGACAACTAGTCACTTTTCAGACTGGACTCAGGACGTCTTCGGTGAAGTGCGCTTGACAAGGACCCTATGCAAGCAAGTGCTAAACCGATTCCTATACAAGCGCAGGCAAGCAGTGTCCCTAGCATGCGGAGGTCAACACGGCTTTCCTAAATCAGGGTCCTAAAGACAGGGAATTTTCACAAGGGTATCGTCTTCAGGGCGTCCCCTATCGTTTTACAGGTCACCGCTGGCATTTGCCATACCCCAGCTCACATACAGCCACAGGCTCAGTTGAAGCCTCTTCGAAGAGAAGCCCCTGCTGCGATGCAAAGTCTGCAGCTGCGTCGAAATCGACCTAACCCACCCCATGCCGTGCGAGGAGGGCAGCACAAAGTGGAACTGGGGCTTTGACCTGTCGGTCGCCTGGATTCTTTTCTGCCAGGTCTACCTCTGCAGGCTAGAAATTCAGAGAGCTTCGGCCTCCGAGCTCCCGCCTTGTTCCCAACCAGCATGATCACGATGTCTGGTTCGGCCTCAGTTCCGTGCTGCAGCGGCCAACACCCAGATCCACCCAGTGCTGTGAGCTGCGTTTGAGCGCAACTCTTCCATCCACCGCTGACCTAAGCCAGTAGCGATGCGGCGTGCCCCGAAGCCGAAGCTCGGGCACGAGCAGCTTTTGAACGTCGCTGGTTTCGTGATGTCGTACACGAGCAGTGCCTGGCTTTCAGCACAGGCACAAGAGATAACACCAGAAGGAGGTCTGGTACATGTCGCGCAGCAAAGCAAGCTAGACAGAGAAAGAAACCATAACTGGTGTACTAAGAGCCCTGGGGCCAGTATGAACTCATTGGTCGAAAGAGCAAAGGTGGCCGGTCTGCAGGCTCTGGAAGCCAAGCCAAACAAGCCAGTTGTAAATCCACCAGGCACTTTGAACATTGACAAGTGCACCAATGGTGTCTGCTGATCTTAGTATTTCTTTGGATCACGAGTCAACGACTCCTCGGCTGCCTCCAAAACACGCAAGAGCGGCGCCGACCGCTCGTCTGTAGTGAGCGCTCGTGATCGCACGATACCTTCCGCTGACAGAAATCCAGCGGAGACTGCGGCATCCCGCTTGGGTCGTCCAGTTGCAGCGACGTCCGGATTTCCAGCTTCTAGTTATTCTACTGGTTTCAGGTCATTGTCCCCGTGAAGCGCAGCCCACCTCTCTTGTCCAGCTGTGTCCCAGATCTGGGCTTTCACTGCGCCTTGGGCCCAGAGCATTATCATTGTCATGGCGGACGCCCGGAGCCGGGGATTGCACAGCCTGCATCCAGACTGACCGTCCGTGTCGCAAACTCCACACCGATCGTGGCCGTTGGCCTCACAAGCTGAGCGTCGCTGTGAGGCTAAATGTAACTGCTCCCTTTCTCCGTGGGCAACCCTTAAACGAGCTCAAGCACTTGGCCCGATGCGCTTTGGGCAACGTGCCTTTGATGTATCGCGACCTTCGACTTCTAAAGACCAATCTGTGGGGGCATGGAGTTCCGAGATGTGGGCAATATGTGGGTCTTCCCGACCGTCGCGTCCTGTAGTCCATGCCAAAATTTGAAGACGTGCACGAACAGAGTGATATCCAAGGCCACTGCTCCAACAAGTACTAGCTTGTAGAGATGATCATAGTCTTCCTGGCTCTGGTCTGCGACAACTTCGCACGTTTTTTCGAGAAGTCCGCCTCTCCAATCATGTGCCCGGATGCCCGGCATGAGGCGAAGAGTTGTTCGAACGTGTCTCTTTCGCAGCGCTACGGGTTTATGATGCTCGTTCGATGAAGTGACAACTGTGTCGGCAAGACTGTCTGCACTGTTTTGTTTGTCATCCTTCTTTCTGGCAAACTGCGATTGCCTACAGCATTACTTTGGGGGGGTGGTGCTTGCTCCAATCGTTTTTGTCTAGTGGAGCAAACTTTCAAGCGCGGGACCCCGAACCTGTTACGTCTACCAACAACTCCTGCCAGAAAACTTGCTGGAAGGCTTTGGGGGGCAATCTTGATCGCATGATCCTGCCTTTTGGAATACAGACCTTTCCGAAGCCAGGACAACCGGGAATCAACACTTGCAAGGTTCGGAAAGGCGAATTCCCAATGCGGATGAGTTCATGTTGTAAAGAGGGATTGTGACTTGCATACAAAGCGTTACGGCAGGGAAAAGATCCTGAGGGCTCAGCAGCAGAGTGACGAGCAGCCAAGCAAAGCGAGAGAAAGGAAGAACGGGCTGGCAAAGGTCATCGCAAGATTAAAGGACCAGCAAGAGCAAGAGCAAGACCAGAGGGAGGGAACCCACGGCTCTTCGAAGTCTAGGTCTGTTCTTGCAGTGTGGTGATGAACTCTTTGTCCAATGTTCTCCTCGCAGGGAGGGTCGTTACCCAAAGCTAAGTCTCTGTTTGGGTTGTGACATGCCCAGCATAATCTCCGGTAGACTCTACTGGAAGCTTCTCCTATGAAATGGGGACACAATTGAAACGCACAACACGCACAAAATGGCATGTCTGAAGGACTTGAGGAAAAGAGTAACAGATAGCAGCAGGATGGGATTTGCAGCAGACATAGCCAAGTCGGTAGGGCAAAAACAGCTGCCCGAAGGAGGCACGCCCATGCGTGAGGCACACTCACAAAGCTTGCCACCAATCATAGTCAACACCCCTTTGCGCCTGGAAAACACGGCGGATGGCATCGAGACGTCTGCAGTCAGCACGCGCCTTTTTTCCCTCCCCATGGCATCAGATGACCTTTTTGGCCACACCAGTGAAACGTTGCTCAGAGCGGAGGCGGATCTTCAGTGTGCTCTGGGAACCTCAGGAAGCCACAGCAAAACATCGTGCAGTGACAAGACGCGACATCTACCTGAATCCACCTCAACCTCAGCCAAGTGCTCAGGCATTTCCAGATGGACAGAGGCAAGCTCCTGCCAGGATGCAATCTAGCGCGCTGTTCTGGCCACGAGTCGTCTCCAAGACAACAAGTTTCTTGGGTCCTGCTGCAAGGGCTCTTCAGCCTCACCTGCGACGACTGTCTTTCGTGCACATTGAATTCCCGACAACTTCACATGCCCGGCAATGCAGGAATGACTTCAGCCAATCGCCTTAGAAAGCAGTGAAAAACCAAGTTTAAGAAAAAAACAAAAGAAGTCAGTTCAACTCCAGCTCTGAGCGAGTTTGAATCACTGCAAGTTTGGGACGGATTTGTGTTTGGAGCAGCGGGTCAAGCGCTTGATGGTGCAGTCGGATGGTTTACTGTCCTTCAGCCTGCCTGCACCTACATCGCCATCAGCTTGAACATGTGACTTCCCCATGGCCTGCATCATGCCAGTCGGCACAGGCGTGGCATCTGAGTCAAAGCAGCAGGGCCTGCTTCTCAAGGAGCTTGCCCTCGGTCTTCCTCCGAAGACCTCGCTGATTTCGCATTAGCATCAGGCCCCTGCAGATTCACAGAGCTGCATGCAAACGAACACTGAAGCTGCTTCACCGCATTCCCAGGACGAACATGTCTGTGCAACATCCCCGGTCGCAAAGGAATTCTACGAGGCTCGGTCGTCTTTCCTGTGTATGTCCTTTTCCCAGCAACGTTTCTCGCTCTGCAAGCGCAAAAGAGATGCATTCCATCTTCACCCGGTCCCGGCGGAGCGCATATCCCCAAGCCTGCCACTCCTCATCATCATAGCATGTCAATTCTGCTCGGGCAGGACTTGCATTGCCCTGTACTTCGAGGCCTGTACTACACATCCATGATATGCGCGTCTGTCTGTGCGCGTGCGTGCGTCTGCGCGCGCGTGCTGGCAAAGGTACATGCATCACTCACATGTGCACGTCAAGACCACGCCTGTATCTGTATGTTCGAGTTTTCTTTCCTCGCATACAGCGTTGCATAAAGTTAGACGAACATCGCTTCTCTGCAGCATGTCGCCTGAAGCCTCTGTTCCGGGTCCGCTAAGTCCTGGCTATCCTAGGACATGAAGTTCCTGCCAGGTACCGAATCGATGATACGAGGGCTTCATAGCGACCCACGGCTACATCTCCTGGAATGTCTTCGGTGCACGAACTTGGACTGCACAGCAACGCACGGCAAACCTCGCTCCGTGAACAACGACATGTTGACGAGAGAGTCATTGGCACTCTCGTGTGCGTCGCCGACCAGCTTGGCCTCAAGCGTTCGCCAGAATGCTGCATCCGCAATTCCGCGCACAAAAAGCCCGGAAGGCGAGTCGCGCTACGGGCCCCACATAGCGGGACATTCGACGCATCTCTGAAAAACTGTTTACCCGTTGTGTCTGCAAAATGCACCTTCCTCCTGTATCTCCAAAATGCTGGATTCCGGACATAAGAAAACCAAACCTATGGTTTCAAATCATGCTCAGCGTTCGTTGTCCTGTGCGGCTCCGTATGTCTTCCACAACTCAGCGGGGCTTGACTGAATGCCGTGGTTACTGACCGGTGCGAGCTTCACACGTGCACACTTCGATCTGAGATCCGGGCGCTCCTTGGCTTCCTCACCCACCAGCTCGACCTCGTCGCTGGTATCCTCGTGTGCCACATCGGAATCAGGAGCATCTTCCGGGCTCCCATGGCGGGGCAAAAAGCCGTCTACTTAGATTCGCTAGAGCATGCCTTGCGTCGTTTAGTACTGTGCCCCACCTGTGCTGCATACTACCACGCTCAAAATGGATTCGCCTCGGCCCGGCCGAAGCGGTCGCAAGTTCCCTCCTCCCCCTCCGGGAAACTCTTTCCCCTCCAGGTATTGGGCCCTGGATGATGCCACGGGATTTACAATTATTGCCCTCCGCTCCGGCCTTGTACAAGCAGATAGTAATGTTGTCTACCCCATCAGCTTGTCTCGCGAACCTCTGCCGGCCGACAGATCTGACATGATCTGACGTCAAGTCCCCCGCACTGGAATGTGCTTCCGAGCTCGTAACCCTGCATCCAAGGTGTGTTGATCCTTGGATGTAGAAACATGTCACTGCCTCTTTTCAGCGCTTGTCGGGGCGCAGTCGACTCAGAGGCCCTGACTCTCTTGGCCAAGCAATCCTCGGCAGGAAAATCAGAAGCTGTGTCTGAGGCTCACCTAACCCGAACCACCCACTTGCATAGCATGGCTACGGAATTCGCGGCCTTGTGTTTTTGCTCGTTACCGCCTTGTCAACTGTCACGGTCACTGGGGCCGATCCAGAGAATCCAGGTGAAGATTAGAGCAAAGCCTGACATTCGCCAGCTGCGGCGCGTTTTCTTGTTTACCCCTCGCTATCCATCGGTATGGCTGTTGCTGATGTTGTCGTTCCATTCCACGAATCCGGAAAGTGCTTGAGTTTCCAGGCTTGTGCTGACGGGGATCTGCTTCTTCGGAAAAAGAATACACGGCAATAATGATCCTCCACACAAGTGAATTTGCAACGTTGCTTTAGACACCTTTCTACAAAAAAACATCGCACGACATCTGCGCTTCCGAAGCCTCTGGCTGCTCCCAGGCTGAGACCCGCTCGCAGAGGAAGGGCCGCACTGTGCCTTCCTGCACTTGGCTTGCAAGGCCTTGGCTCAGAGTTCGGCTCTTTTCTTTGGCTTCTTTGGGAGCTCTACGGGCCCCAGGCGGACACGTCGGTCCGGGGTCTCGAACATGCTGGCAGGGAGCCGCGGCCTCCGGGTGTCAGAATTGTGGCTGCGGTTCGACGGTTGCGATCGTTTGAAGCTTCTTCCCTGAAAAAATCGCTTTCGGGAGCATCTGGATGCGATAAGGTGGTCACTTGGGCGCCGGGGCGGTGCACGTCGTACCTTCAAAGGATCCTTCAAGGGCTCCCTTACAGGTTCGTTTTGCTAATCATTTTTGGAACCGGAAGGATTACTGCTCCTTTAGGCGCTCCTTCACGGGTTCCTTGAAGGGATCCTTGAAGGAATCCATCAGCAACCGTACGGCTTAGGGCTCCTTCAAGCCGCTATCATCCTACCCCTGTCCAGATACACACGTTCCCATATCCTTGCTTACTTCCTTGCTTATACTCCCCTCGAAGTGCTTCTCCGTCTAGGCGTGCAGCCATCCCCTACTACTACCCCTTGCTTGCTCCCGTCCCAATCTCCTGCTCCCTCAAAGAACGTTGCCTCCTTGCATTTGATGCCTCCTGTTTCACGCTTCATCAGATCCGCGAACGGTTTTGGGAGCGGCCGCTGCATCGCAGCGGCGTTCTCGATTTCAAGCTCAGCAAGAAGCTGAGGCCCATGCGGTGTGGAGGTGTAGTAGCCTCTTTTGAGTGCTCGTAATCACTCGGTGCGGTACTGGACACTCTCAGTAGGGTTACATCTTGCAGGGCCTGGGAAGCCAAAGAAGTGAATGGCAGGGATCGCAAGGAAAGAGGCATCACCTCGACACCAATCGTGCTCGAACTCTGCAGCACATTTTGGGCGTCTAGGGCTTTGGGGCCAGTGCCGAAGAGGTTGGAGTTGTGCTCCATCTCCGGTGGTGTCACCAGCAGCTTGCGCGCGCGGCCTGACGAAGCAAACGGGCCATGCCAATATGCCGGGCTGGCCGGGCCCAGCACTAGACCCGCTTTCCTGAGGCGCCGGCAGCGTTTGAAAAGCTTCACCGAATGCTCCACGGGGATGAGGCCTGCAAAACCGCCCTCCCAATCCCAGCAACGGCAGCTTGCTCTTCTGGGCTGGGCTGGAAGAGGCACGGTAGATGTGCTGCCGGGCCGAGCAGAAAGACTGACTCAGCATCTGTTGTGAGATCTACTGGTGAGTCTACGGCATCCCTCAACATCTCAACCCCTCACGGACCCTCACCGGCCGTGCCCGCCCTGTTTGTTCTCACCCGCTGTTGTCCTTTACTGCTTCCGTGCGCCAAGGTTCACACGCCGCAGGGCACCGGGCTTCTCCGAAGTAGATGATAAAAAAATCAATGTATACTGTTTACTGGAGATCACACACCTCTGGACGACTCGGTGGGCGCAAGACTGCAAAGCACGAGATCCAAGAGGGTAGAACTCTTACTCTCACAGGATTTACAGCACAATGTGTTGGTTTAGGCTGGCAGAAGCTAAGGTTCTGGTTTTGAAACTACACGCTTTGCGCGGTGCATGATTGGAGACGCTCCGGCAGAAGATGCAAACCGTCAGATCAAAAAACAGAGGACAGAGGCAACAAAGCCACCCAGAGCAAATTCAGAGGCTTGTCGTTACAGAGAGGATTGAGCTGCGGGCGAAGAGGCGCACCCAAATCGGTGTTACGCGGTATTGGGGGTTTTGCAGAGGAAGGCACCGTCGGACTCCCCATGGATGAACAGCGTCGAGCAGGACCTTAAAGTCTTAAACAGCAGCTCCTCGACACCCTCCTGGACCACTGGGATACCGACACGTTGGAGATGGTTTTGTGGTTGGGAAAGCGTCTCGGCGCGAGATCCGCAGGCACTCCCATTTTACTTGGAAAGCAAGGGGCGCTGGCTCTTGGAACGCCATGGCGAAGAGCCGGCCAGCAATGCTTTGTACCTGGAAGAGTCAGGGCATGGACCTTGAGACTGAATTGCTTAACATGCCTGCTGCATTCGCCACATTACACCGAAGTCCAAGCTGCTGCGGCTCGGATTGATGAGAAGGCGGACACCAGGATCAGGCCTTCTTCTTGCGAGGTCATGCACCACAGCAACGGACGGTCTCATGGCCTCCAACCGGAAACTGAGATGCGAGGAAGACCGCTGGACCTGATTCTGGTAATGGTGGTGGTGGTGGTGGTGGTGGTGGTGGGCGGCGAGTGAAAATGCGAAATGGGGGGGGGTGCCCTTTAAAGGGTGCATGTCGAATGGGCTGGAAGAAGCTGGAAGGTTCCGGTGAGAACTCTACCGGTCTTTCGCAGTGGCACACAGAACTCAGCTTGGCACCGCTGCCGAGAGATCTGCCGAACAAGACGATCCTTGGTCGCAGTGCCGGCACAGCGCAGGGGACCATGCTCCGGCCAGGCCCGGTGCTGCGAGTATCGGACACCAAGGATGTCGACCTGAACTGCAAGCTGCAAGCTGCCGGGCTGTTATGGTAACAACATGATCGGATCACGCAGGAGCTTCGACAGCAGAAGCTACCCGTACGGGAGTACACTTCATCCAAAACTGGCATCGTTGGAGATACGGGCTTTTTCCGTGCTGCGATGCTGGCGATTCACGAGGACTTTGTGGGGATTGGCTTTGCTCCAGCCCGGACCATCCCAGCCGTCCCAGCTCTGCGGAGACTCCCGACCACCACAGCAAGCATTGCGCAACCACCCCAGCCCCACACTGCTGCGAGGCTTTTTCAAACCTTGCATCCGTTCAGGGTTTACACCTGGATCTTCACATTCCTTTGGGGTTGAAGGGCGCCTCGGATGGTTTCAGTACGGAGGTTCAGTTACAAATGAGACGCCTTCCAAACTCGGGTTCTACGAAAGTGATCAGCAGGGTTTTCTGCAGGGCTTTTAGGCTGAGAGCCCTCTGAGTTTACTTGCAGCAGCTTCTTGCACGGACGGCAACACGAATCCTCCTACTGACACCTCCTCAACATCTGCAGGCGCTTCAGAAAAAAAATCGGTGCACCTAAGGAACACAGCAGAATCTGAACCTGGTTCGCGAAAACGAGCGTGCACCAGAAATCCAAACAAAGGAAAAAACGATTGCACCAAAGACCCCGAAGGGAGTGGCCAGCAGGAGACCCTGGGCCAATGAAATGAGTAGCAAGCCCCAACACACCAAGATTAGTTGGAAGCAGCCTCTGCACATCTTGCTGATTGTTGCTTGGTGCGTGGAAGCAAGCAGATCTCTCCGTCACCCACGAACCCTGCAGGAACTATCCAGACTTCTCATGTGAAGCTGACGCACTGGAGGATTGCGTCGTGTTTGTTTTGGATCTGGTGCCAGTATGTCCGGTCCTGTGCCTGTTCGTGGTGCCCTCATGCCGGTACATGATCCACTGTAAGACGACAAAACCGGGTCGCTGCACTTGGGATTCTCTCCGGCTAAGGACAAGACGAGAAAACGAAAGGTGGTCAGTGCCACTTCGCAGACACCATCCTCAGTGCAAGCAGACATGCTCATGTCGGATGCCATGAGACCTCGCCAAAGGCACCTCGGACGGTTCAACGTGATGCAGGAGCCCATATCCTGTCGTGATCTCCAGCTCCGAAGCAGTGACTACTTCGGTCTTGTGTCTCGAGTTTGGCGTGCATGGTGCTGATTGGCTGTGTAGTTATAGATTTGGTTAGTAGGATTTTCTGAATCTTCAGATTGCCTCTCAGTGTGGGTTCCGTATGGGCCAAGGCTCGCATAGTTTCGCTTGCTTGCCCTGGCCCAAGCATGTCCGCAACAGTGAAACCGCTGCAGGCTGCAGGGGCTTCGTACGCAGCGAACGTTCGAGTGCCAAACGAAATGCTTGAACTCTCAGACGGCAGGTCTAGGCTGCCTGGATACTCTGCTGCAAGCACGTTCACCTCCCGCAGTGGCTCTCGCGCAACTCCAGCACAGCTTCATGTCGCAGCCTTGAATTGATCTCGCATGTGTTTCAGGATCGCGAACGACATTCCCAAGTCCTGCATTCTTAGCACATCGCATTGCAGACGGTCTATCCAAGGGGAGTCGGAGTGTAGTCTACGACGCAGGATCGCCTCCGCATTGGCGTGAAAGAAGAGAATGACGGTGGCGGCTTTCGGCGCAGGAAACCACCTGAATTGCCGGAGCCGGTTATGTTGCTTTCGCTAAGCAGCTGAGGAGCCGGCAAGCACGGGATACCATCCTGCTGGCAACTGCAAGGTACTGCACGGTCTTGCAAGGTACTCTGCCACTGCGGTCCTGCAAGCTGGTGTCCCGTGCCTCAGCTCCAAGCAGTTGTGGCTTCGCTGACTGGCCCCTGTCAAAACGGCCTTGTCGGGAGAAAGGACAGGGTTCCATGGGATCCAGCACAGGTGCCTGGCGAGCGCGAGGTTTGCGAGCACTGGCGAAGCACGTGCAAAGCCGAGAATCGGGGCCTTCGATAGGACTGCGGCCCATAAGACGGATCGGGCGCAGGAAACACGAAGCGGTTCCTGGCAACTCGCATGAACCAAAGACCTCAAGGGATTTAAGGGCCACACTCGGGCTTCTCCAAAGGAGCAGAAAAGCACACCCTCAGTCGGTAAGACTATGAAGCACAGGCCGCGCCGACCCCCAGCTAGCCCCAACCATGCCGTAGCCAGTCCTGGCAGCATGATCCGATGCTAAGTTCATGTGTCTTTGTGCTGCTGCGCTTTGTGATGCTCGTAAAGCATTTGGCTTCACAGGCGCAGGTACGGCAAACGTGTTCCTGTGCAACCAGTCTTCGGATCATAGGTTATCACTGCGAACTGACACGATGGTCAGAATAATTGCCTTGCATGCGCAAACTTATGGCACAGCAGCAGCTTTTGATGGGCCAATGTGCGCCGCTAGTCCAAGCCAATTCAAGGCCGCCTGGCATGCGCAAAGCATATAACATAACACAATACAGTACAGTATAATGTGATAGTATAATACAACAAGCAAAGCAAACTAATACTATACTGTTGTAGTATAGTATATTATATTATGTATAATGCAGCTGAGCCAACACTCTGAGACGGTCGCACCTCGCTGGTCAAAGCTCTCAGGTACATCGCCAGCATTGCTGCTTTGCTTCTCTGAAAGCACCCTCCAAGCCCCCCCTGTCTGCGTGAATATATTAGACTCTAGTCTACGTATATGGAGAAAAATACAGATATATATATATACACTATTGCAATAACAATAAAGGAATGCTCAAAGGATCTTCAACTGGGCTCAAGACAAGAACCTGCGATCCATGATAAGGCTGATAAAGTAGGAAGGCGCTGTAGCCAGCGAAGAATCGTGTTCTTGAATGCCTGCTTGGGCCTGTCTATGCTTCGAAATGCATGGTAGTGACACGAGTTGGTTCAGGAGCACCGTCTCTCTCTCTGAAAGAACCAACCAAGCTGACTGTGTCTTCTCGGGTGCCCAGCACGTGGCAGCTGTGAGAGGCCCTACAAGATGACATCTGACCTTTGCAGTTGTCTTGACATTGGCAATCGCCCGAGCAGACTGATGCTGCAGCAGGCTCTGATATAGAAAAAATTCTGTAACCGAGCTGAACAATCACCTCCGTATCATAAGCCCTTTCAGTTCCACGAACCATAATGCCATCATTTCCCACGCGCGTAGCGGTACCTGACCACAATCAAGTTAGGACCCCTTTGCCCCTTTTGGGCTATGGCAGCACCCACCCCACCAATCATTAGTCCAATATCTAATCACACTCTAGAACCCCAATACCCGTATCTACCTAGGTGCCATAGCTCAAACTGGGCAAATAGGGTCTTATAGAATTTTGGTTCAGGGTTTAGGGTTAAGGGTTGTAACTCTAATGCAATCATGACATATAACTCCTTATGTATTATAATTACACTATAACTACGCAGTTACTGGTTTCAATTGCGATGCTTTGTTAAAATGTTTTGACCACATATGAGGCAAGTAACTAGAACGGCAAGTATTACAGCAATAATGTTGCTTGCCGTTTATTTCTCTGATCTTGTCTGGTTTGGGAACATCCTTCTCAAAATCTGGATCTGTTAGCTTCTGCCTAAAATACTGATGTGTTTGTGACTTTTCGTGTTGGGCTTGTTTGTATTTCTTTATTTCGTAATTACAAACAGGACACGTGACAACCTCGTCTTTGATTCTGTTCAGGTGGCTCTGTCTCAACTCTTTAACTTTTTAGGGGCTTTGTGCTCGTATTCTTTCTTTTGTTCTGCTATTTGTTGCTTATGTGCTTGACCATATCTCTTTCCTTTCTCTCTACATACATTACAAGTCTTATAGTTGTGTCTTCAAGTTTCTCAATCTTCTGCATCATCTGACACTTACTGCAATATTTTCTATCTTCCGTTACTCATCAGACAAGAAGGTGTCGTTTCTTTTAGCTTGTAGCCCGCCCGGTGTCTAAGCATTCAGAACCAGTCATAGTGTGTTTAACATAACAGTATGAATGCTTACTAATGCAATAACAACGCTTGAAACAATCAATGTCTTTGACTTGCTTACAACCATAACACTTCCTAGTAACAACATGAACTGCTTCATTGTATGGATCAAAATCAACTAATGTTTTATCTACTTTTATTGGCATTACTATTACTATTACTATTACTATTACTATTACTATTACCATTACTATTATTACTATTATTATTGTTGTCTACACTTTTTCATAATGCGAGATTATGAGAATATGCACCGGTTCCTTAAGATTCATTACTAATTCAGGCATACCCACACAAGACTTGCATGAGAACTCCCAATACCCGCGGCATGGGTCATGCATTGAGGCTTCTCATGGTCGGGACGCTGAGGCCTACAGGGCACGGTGGATGGGGATGCCCATCGTCGGAGGAGGCTGGGTCGCCTTGCCTCGGGTTTTTCAGAACTGCGTGTGAGATTGCCGTTTGCTGCGGAAGCCAATCAAGCCGGGGAGTTGACATTTCTCTTGCACGTTCCTCTGCCTCCTCATAGATGGCCTTCAAATCCTCCGAGGAAGACATGTTACAGTACATCATCTCATCAGCCGATTCGGTGGTCCATGGTCTCTCCTGGTTATTCTTGCCATGCCTTGCACCGCCGCTTTGCGTCATGTCTTCGGCGAAACATATCAGCCTCAGCAGATTCGGCAACACGAAAGAGATGGGCGAGCTATGTGAAAAATCGCGAGCACACTACGAGACTCTGAGACGGGTCGTCGCAGCACAGGTGCAATCTTTGCAATCGACTGAACAGTAGCTACGTAGCAACAATACCGAGATGCCATCATCAGAGCATCTCACATCCCGTCGCTTTCACTCTGAGATGAGGTCTTCGGGTTCCCTTTCGGTTACTCACCTTTTGGGGCCCGAACACTGTTGCAACCCTGTGACATCGGCTCTCCCTTTGGCCGACCCGTGTTCTGGCTCTCACCTCTCTCCGAACGTTTCACCCGACCCCAACAAAAACACACTCAATCCCGGCAATGCTCACTCCGAATGCTCCGTTTGCAGAGCTGCAGTGTGTCAGAAGTCACGTCGAAAATGGCCATGAAGGACCAAGCCTCAAACGAAGCTTGTCGGGTTTCGCAACAGCATACGCAGCTTGCATGGGCGCAGCACCACGAGGAAGGCCAGAATAGCCGAAAGCGCAACGGCATATCCCGGATTTGGAATCTGAGCAGACGTGCTGAATGCCAGCTGCCGGTGCTGTCAGCGTCGAACTGAGCATCCCGCATACGAGGTGCTTGTGACGCTTTCGTACTTCTCAGACGAAAGCCTGAACAAAGTAAGGTGCTGCACTAGTCTCCAGAGCATGAGATCTTCAGACTCCGACAGCCACGCAGAAAGGAGCCCGCATGATGCGGTGATGGCGGCCTTGGATGAAGTCTTGCTTTGTTGGGCTTCTCTGGTGTTTAGGACTCAGCTCGCATCCATGCCCACAACCTGGAAGATGCACGTGGCACCTGAGCTCACCCCTTGGTGTGCTGTGACGTTGACAAGTTCTTAAAACATCTAAGGTCCGCGGCCGTTCAGGATGGCCATGGCTGCACCGTGGTCAATCATGATCTTGGCAATACTTTGCCTTTGAGCTGTCGCAGACTTGCGCAGCCGAACGTCGCATTGTCCGGCGGACAGCACTTGCCAGGTCCATGGCAGTGCTGCGCAAAAGTTCTTAGAGGTCAAGGCGATGTCGATATAGACCTTGATCAAAATTGCACTCTTACATTCAAATCGATGCCTAGGTGGACGTGTAGGAATTTAGTTCAATCCATGTCGCACTGTTGTTGGCGTTGCTGTTGTTGGTCGTGGTGTTGGTGTAGGTGTGGTTGTAGGTGTTGGTGTTGCTGTTGCTGTTGCTGTTGCCGTTGCTGTTGCTGTTGCTGTGGTTGTTGTTGTTACACCCTGACAGCTAAACTAAAGGTTCTTTGCGGAGTTGCCGTCATGCACTTCAAACTTACAGTAAGCGACTTTCTCAGCAGGGGGGCGGAGGAGGTGGAGGGGGGCTCCGCCCAACGAAGCTCTCCCTCACACCTCAGGTAACGTACCTGCTTTGCCTGCGCCTGGGCCCCGTCGTGGGCAGCTGGCGGGGCACTCACCTTCGTTCACTTTTCATCTCATTACTCGCTACGTCATTCCTCTGTCCATGGCGTAGCAAGGGGCAGAATCCTCACCGCTGACGGATCATCTCACCTCGTTGTCGCACGCCATTCCTTTGGTCTGGCACACATGGAACCAAAGCTTCATCCCATCTTCGTTATCATCACCATCATCAACATCATCTTGTTTCATATCTGGCAGCAGCCAGATGACACTTGGGCCTTGGATTACTCAGGACTTCACTTGGATACAAAAATATGGCAGATAGGTGCGACCAGCAACAATCACCAGTGCGGACTTACCCAATGTTGTTGTTGTTGTTGTTGTTGTCGTTGTCGTTGTCGTTGTGGTTGTGGTTGTGGTTGTGGTTGTGGTTGTGGTTGTGGTTGTGGTTGTGGTTGTGGTTGTAGTAGTAGTAGTAGTAGTTGTTGTTGTTGTTGCTGTTGTTGCTACTGTTGCTGTTGCCGTTGCTGTTGCCGTTGTTGTTGTTGCTGTTATTGATGTTATTGCTGTTTCTGCTGCTATTGATGTTGCTGTTGCTGTTGCTGCTCCTG